TTTTTTTTTTTTTTTTTTTTGAGAGAGTCTCACTATGTGACTCTTGGTAGAGTGCCGTAGTGTAACAGCTCACAGCCTCAAACTCTTGGGCTTAAGCGATTCTCTTGCCTCAGCCTCCCAAGTAGCTGGGACTACAAGTGCCTGCCACAGCTATTTTTTTTTTTCTGTAGTTGTCATTGTTGTTTAGCTGGCCCGGGGCCAGGTTTGAACCCCTCAGCCTTGGTGTATGTGGCTGGCGCTGTAACCACTGTACAATGGGTGCCGAGCCGCTTTTTCTTATTTTTGAGACAGTTGCTCAGGCTAGAGCGCCATGGTGTCAACCTAGCTCACAGCAACCTCAACTCCCCAGTTCAAGGGATCCTCCTGCCTCAACCTCTCAAGTCACTGGGAGTACAGCAGGTGCCCACCACAACGCCCAGTTAATTTTTCTATTTTTTTTTTTTTAGTACAAAGAGGGTCTCGCTCTTGCTCTGGTTAATCTCAAATTCCTGAGATCAAGTGATCCTCCTCAGCCTCAGCCTCCCAGCAACCGCACTTGGCCCACTGATACCCCTCAAAGCAGAAGCTTTCACAGCTTTTGCCAAACTAGGGAGAAGCACCACTCTGCAGAAACAGATATGAGTTCAGAGTGAGACCTTACACCTCAACCATGTGCAAGACCCTTCCCCTCATGAGACTCTGACCTGCAGGCGCTGCCCACATCAATCATCTTGATGACATCTTCAGCTGAGTTAACCAGGTGCTCCTGCAGCCCCACCACCTGCACCTGCTGCTTGCCGTCCTCCAGAACTCGCAGCTTGGTCTTCTTGTTGAGCAGGTCAAACAGCTGTGCCAGGAAGATGGTTATCAGGCACCCACCCACCTCCTCCCTCTGACAGAACCTGCCCAAGCTTAGGGAAGGGCCATCAGCAGGAAAGGCAGAAAGAATACAGGCTGATAGATTTCATATTAATAGAGGGCAATACACTTGGGATCTGAAACCAGGCTGTCTGTTTGATGCGACTCTGCTACTTTCTACCTGTGTTGCCCTGGGCAAGTAAATTAACTACTCTACCCTTGCTTTTTATCTGTAAAGTTGGGACAAGAAAAGTGCTTAGAATAGTGCTTACTGGCTCGGTGCCTATAGTTCAGTGGCTAAAGTGCCAGCCATATGCACTGGAGCTGCCGGGTTCAAATCCAGCCCAGGTCCTAGCAAACGACAGTAACTGCAACCATAAAATAGCCAGGTGTTGTGGCGGGCACCTGTCTCAGCTACTTGAGGGGTTGAGGCAAGAGAATCGCTTAAGCCCAAGAGTTTGACGTTGCTGTGAGCTGTGATGTCACAGCACTCTACCAAGGGTGATGCAGTGAGACTCTGTCTCAAAAAAAAAAAAAGAATAGTGCTTCCTACACAATATCCTATTAATAATGGCACACACAGGCAAAACTTACTCCTGAGGGGAGCCCTAAGGACTATCCCTTCCTACAAGTTGAGCTTGGGTGCCACCTCACCATTAGATAAACTTTTTTTTTTGAGACAGAGTCTCACTTTGTCACCCTTGGTGGAGTGCTGTGGCATCACAGCACAAAGCAACCTCAAACTCTTGTGCTTAAGCAATTCTCCTGCCTCAGCCTCCCAAGTAGTTGAGACTATAGGTGCCCACCAAAACACGTGGCTATTTATTTTATTCTTATTTATTTTTTTGTTTTTTTGCAGTTTTTTGGCCAGAGCTGGGTTTGAACCCACCACCTCCAGCATATGGGGCCAGTGCCCTACTCCTTTGAGCCACAGGCGCTGCCCACTATTTTTATTTTTTTACATATATATTTTTAATATATAGGCCAAATGAGAAATTATAGCTAAACATACAGCTATTTTTTAGAGACAAGGTCTCACTCTGGCTCAGGGTGGTCTCGAACTTGTGAGCTCAGACAATCTACCTGCCTCAACCTCCCAGAGTGCCAGGATTACAGGAGTAAGCCACTACTCCTGGCCCGGATAAAACCTTTCATATACACCAGGGTAAAGTGACCTTTTCAAAGGCTTGATTGCTAACAGGTTGATTGGCTTCTACAACTTTTAGCCAACTTCAAGGTTTTAGAAAGTTCAGGGGCCCAATAGCACAAACAAGAGGCTTCCTGCCTGCTACCTTCCCGTTGTAGATCTCGAAGAATGTCACATAGACTTCCAGGCTCAGTTTCCGGTAGCGGGGCTGATTCTTCAGCAGGAAGACGTCCCGGGCTGAAGGAGAGGACCTGGCTAAGTAAGCAACCTACCTTTCTGTGCCCAACCCAGATGCGGCAGAACACACTACTTACAGGCCATGGCATAGATCCCTTTGGATGCATTCTGAGCTTTCCCAGAGAGGTCTCCACCCATAGTCTGCAAAAGGAAGGGGTAGAAGACCATTGGAAAGGGTCTCTGGCCTAGCCCAGAGCAATATTGGCTCCATCACAATGGGCCACACCACAGCCAGCAGGATGGACCTGCTAAGGCCCCTCCTTGCATCTGGCACAGTGAAGAGTATCTGGCGATAGAGCATCTGCACTGAGGGAACTTTCTTCCTTCCTTTTTTTTTTTTTTTTTTTTT